AGAATTATTTGACCAATACACATACACTGATATAGGCAGATAAGGTTGGACTTGAGCTTAGTATTAAATAAAGAAAACAGGGCACAAGAACCTGAAGTAGATACAATCTACCTAGAAAACGTCGGGAAAGATAAAGGGAGGATGGTGGGCAAGGTTTGAAGTTATAAGGTTGATTATACATATTTTAGAAATCAAGCAATGAACATGGACTTCATCCATGGAGGTGGCTTTTCTAAAATTGCCATCTATATAAGTCACTATTAGAAAGTAAGATGAATTTAGTGGTATGTGGACTTTTTTTAAATATTTATGCATTTCTTGTAATAGAAATCAGGAAAATATAACTAGGACATGGAATGTAAGCCAAAAAAGATGTTAAAGACAAAAAGGAAGCAAATAATAGTTAATGTACATAAGTTTGCCAAAAAAAAATTGTGAAGATATTTTATGAAACACTGATGTTTGCATTGCTAAAGACGACATGGAAGCTGTAATGGTTTTCTACTATAGGAAGAATGGGATATATTCTTTTTGATTCGGAATGATGGTATTCAGATCCTATGTATGTAGGTTTCCCCCATTTGCCCACTCTTCTAGCCCACATGTTGAGATGAGAACTTGAAGAAACAATGTTCTGCTTGATACTAATCGTGCAGATAATTTGGTGAGCTGGTAATGGTGACATGACCACATGTTGAGATGAGAACTTGAAGAAACAATGTTCTGCTTGATACTAATCGTGCAGATAATTTGGTGAGCTGGTAATGGTGACATGACCAAATGCTTCTACCTTAGAATAAACAATGAGTAATGGAAAATACATATACTAGAATTACACATTGCTTCTTAAACTGAGACAAAATGTACAGTTTTATCAATGTAATTATTACAAGTAATCAATTCTAAAATTACCTACTAATCAACAACTCTAAGCAAGCCACCATGCTAATAGCGTCATAGATACAAAAACAAAGGTAACTTCTGTTGTGCAGTTTGTGATATGTTGATGTGAAGACAGAAAAGGAGGAATAAAACCAGTGCCCAAGCAACATGAAGTAGAAATTATGTTTTCATTAGGTAGTTGAAAATTCTATGAGGGGAAGTAATGGAATAATAATGAAGAGAATAATAATGATAAATAATAATAGAAATAATAGTAACGCCTTCTATTCACCGAGTCCTGTTTATGTGCCAAGCAAAGATTTAAGCATTTTTAATGGAGTATCTTAATCCTCAAAGCAACCCTGCAATATTGATGATATTGAACTTAGATGTATTAAATAATTTAGAGAAGCCAGTATTCAAATGTGAGCTGTCTGACTCCAAGAGCGCACATTCTTAAAAATTGTTTGACATTGTTCTGGTGGTATGGTCAATAAAAGCCTCATTGAGGTGATGCTGCTTATTTAAGGCTTAAAGTCATAAAGAAGGTGGGGATGAGTAGGTAAGCCATTCAAAAGAGAAAGGAGACAGAGATTCAATGTGTGTATGAGATTGGCTAGTTATATTCAATAAACCATGACAAATTATTTCTATCACAAGCTGGGAAATTATAGAAAACAAAGATAGAAAGTTTCTGAGATCAAGTGCTTACATATTAGGAACAATGGCTTATGCTAAATTGAACCTACTGGACTCTTGAGACATGGTAGAAGTCGTGCTTCAGGAAGACACATTGGGCCACCGTGGGAATAACATAGTGTAGTGATTAAGAGCCTGAGACTATGAGCAAGCCACTTGAATTTATAGCCCAGATCTTGTAACTGATCCCTGAAAATAAATAAACTCCTAGAAGTCTCATTTTCCTCATGCATGTGATACCTTTGGTATTGATGATAGTAAATATGGCTATGATTATGAGAAAGTAAGTCATTTACATAAAATGTTTGCTATGGTGCATGTAGTTACTGCTCAGTAACTATTAGCTTTTATGATTAATGTGTAAAGGTTGAATTGTATAAAGGAGAGACTGACAGCAGGGATGTGACTTAATAGGCTACCAACACAGTCCAGATGAGAACAGATAAAATTGTGAACTAGGACAGTGGCAGTAGCAACTGAAAAGAGGACAGTTACACAAGATATTTCAGATGCATAAGTGCCTTCATGATTCATTAGATGTGGGAGGCAGAGACGTGACTCTTTGAGTGTTCATGCCTGGCTCGCTGGGACAATGATGGTGCTATTACTAGATATAGAACAATGAGGAAGACATCATGGTTCGGAGGAGAAATCATGGATCTAGAATCTATTTTGATGTATTGACTATGGATTCAAGTTTTATCAATCTGCCACGAAGGCAATATTTTTCTCAAGTGTGATATAGGAGTCGATTCAGGTGGTGGATGCAAGGATTATCAAATAGGATTACATTCCATTGTGAAAAAATTATTTCCTGTGGAATGCTCCCTTTATCATTCGGTTTACATCAAGGAAATGTTTTGCTGTGATGCTAGCTGTGCTTTGCCATTTCTCTAATACCTCTCTCTCTTTTTCAACATACTCACATTCTGGGGAACACAAATATATGCACTTAAAATTTAAGAATTGTTTGTGTTTCATGATATATTTATGTCAACTTCTATTTATGTTAAAAAATTAACAAAAAACACTGAATCAATTTAAAGAAAAAAAAATACTAACGAACCAACAGTACAGTCTCTTGGATATAACAACATCATGAAAGGTGGGCTTGAATGAATGAAGGTTAGAAATCCCTACAATAAGCTGGGTAACATTTTAAGCAATGTTCCTGCCCAATTTCCACAGAGGTTTCTTAAAGGGACACATTTACTATAAGTCTAGGAGAAACTAATATAACTTCTTTGTAGATATAACTAGTTACAGAGCTATTCTTGAAAATAAGGATGACATCATAAATCAAACAAAAGATTATGCAGAAACTTCCAATCATTACAAAATTAATTACACAAGAATCATGTGCCTCTTTGTATTGGTGTTAAGTTTCAGTTCAGCCCCTTTCTTCACAGAAGCAATTGAAATAGCACTGCATACAAAATACAAACCAACGAAAGCAGGGAATGGGCAAAAAGACCAATGTGAAGGCTAATGACCATATTAAAATTCACAAGGATTTGATGCAGTCAATTAAATGACGCTACCCCAAATCAAATCTGATATCAATGCAGTTTTGCTTTGATTTCCCTAAGAAGATTAATAGCTTTGTAACACACTGGTTATTTTTATTGCTATGCTTTAAATAGATCGTTTTCTTCTGAAGTATCTCTTAGGAGACAATTAATACTCTAGATCATTCTCAATATGAGACATTGGGGAGGGGGGTGATTTTAGGCCCTGTAATATAAAGCCAACCCTTCTCTCACAACTATTGGATTGTAATATTTCTTTGAGCTCAAATGACTAAAGAAAAGATTGGCTAGTCATGAATTTGTGGGTTCTGTTTTAGGGTGCTGGAATAATTATAGAAATATAAATATACAACAGAACTCAATGTCCAATTTCTCATTCTGGAAGCATGCAGACTTGGAGATTATTTTTACACACGTTCTGCATTTCACAGATGGAAGACTTCAGTTCTAAGGCAATCCTTAATCTTTTTTTGGCACCAAATGAAAAACTCTTCTAGTACTTGATGGTCAGGATTTCTAGAGAATAAGGGAGCAGAAAGCTACTTTTCAAAAATATACTTTAGCATTTCTTTGACCTTATCTCAGATTCTTTTTGTAAAATAAAAGACTTTAGGAGAAATCTGCAAATATCAAAAGTAATATTGGGGCCAGATAGCTCTTTGATTTAGAGGATGGTGTTTGTGAAGGTAGAATCTTAAATTTCCATCTTTGTGTAGCTCCTAAATTTGCTTCTCTCTGTACAAAATACCAAGGCCTTATTCTAAATTAGTCAAGACAAAAAATATGTCGTAAGTTCCAGGGGGAAAAAAATCAGGTATAAGTGAGTAAATAGACAGAAACAGCTTAATTCATGGAAAAGTATGTCTTAGTAGATGATAAGCTGAGAACACTATGATTATATTTGAAGTTGGAACATATTTAAATTTATGTAGTTTAAACAGGTGTAGCTGGAGAAATCTGTATGGAGTATATACTTAGAATTGCAGAAGGTTCATACTGTCCACCCATGAGACAGATCTGGTCTGGAAATATGTTTAACTTGCTCTCACATGAGTTTTCTAATTAATTCAATGAATACCATTAAAGTCATAATTTTTAATATAAAAATATAGATTTTAGCTTTTCTTGAAAATTTGAAATCCTGACCACATAAGGTGTCATGCTTGATAAGTATAATTCATATTAGTAAAACCTATTATTTATTAAATGTTCACTACATGCCAGATATCGCTCTAAGCCTTTTACTCTTTTTTTTTGTTTTCTATGTGTAGGATGCCTGTGATGCAAATCATTTTATTCACATTGGTTATGTGGGAAAACTGATCTCCTAAGAAATTCAGTACTTTTCTCAATATCTACAGCTCGTAATGGATGGAGTTGTGATTTGAACCAAGGCCTGTTTGATACCAAAACCCAATGACCTTCAAGTGATAGAGTCAGTTCAAAATACTAAATTACTAAACAGAATTAGTCCATATACATTATGGTCACTTTTCTGGACCGTATTTGTGGAAAGTTCTTTTTTTTTTTTTTTCCTGTGAGATTACTTTAAATGCTCCTATTTCAATATATTATAAAACATATTTCCAAAAGAAACATTACACCTATACCTAATAAATATTTTCTTCTTTTAAATAATTGCTAATCATTTTTGCTTAAACAAATTAAGCAAATAATTCACTTATCCAATGCGCTTCAAATTGATAGAATCCATTTATATTTATCCATTATACTAGAATACCAATTATAATTTCCTCTAGTAAATTAAAACACTTCATTTAATTTTCTGAATATCATTTTTAGACAGATAATAAAAAGCCTTCTGAATCATATATACCAGAATTTTAACTCTGGAAGGGTCACTCAAAATTATTTTCAAGTACATCTTACCAGAAGTTGTCTTCACTACTTCAGTGGTATTTCTCAGTCCAACAAATGAAAATTGATAAAGCCTCCAAGATCTTGTGTCACCCACTTCAACAGAACTACGCTTCCACTGATAGACAATTTCTTCACGTGGATATCCATCTGCCATGAGATGGGAAAGCACATATTTAAAATTATTATAAATAAACATATGTAGCAACCACCTTCCAAGAACAAGACGCTGAGAAAGATACTGAGAGAGAGTTGTGACTTAATGAGAATCTCAGACTAAAGAGTTTCACGGTAGAGAAAATAAATACAATGCCATCATATCCTGATGGGTAGTTAGACTTACAAATCGTGAGATCAGAATCACCATTGAAAGTCACTTAAATTGCATTAAAAATATATTACATATACATGATTTTGTATATATAATATATGCACACTTTACATACATAGTCTTGGATAAGATATAAAAAGTGGCCAGTATATAATAAATAGTACATATACAAGATATTATTTCATCGTGAAAGGGGGTTAACCAGGGCAAGATTTTTAGAGTTATACAGAAACAGAAAATATTAAAAGAACACACTCAAATTCCTCTCCAGAGCATGCACTTGGAGTGAAAGATGATTGGGAAAAATAACCTCAACTATTTACATTATTTTCTCTCGATTTGCTGGGACTTCATTTTAATATACATAGAAATCTACAATTAAAAGCAATGAATGGAGATGCCAAGGGGAAGATCTCAATTAGCACTGTGTAGGTTCTGAGGAGACAGCCTTGTTCAGCCAAGAGAACAGAAAGCCTTCATAAAAGAGGCAGTAAGTACACTGATGCAGTGATTATCATTACCATTTCCTAGTCCTGATACTCTGGACGAGTGTCATAATTTTTTTTTTTTCTAAATTATTTGTTTCCTTATGGGGTGGTCGATAGTATTTATTCCATGGAATTGATGGTCAATGTATTTATGTTTAATGAATAAACATTAAACAGTAGACTAAACTATCAAGTAAAGATGACTGATAGATTATAGATGATAGATAGATAGATAGATATTTTTAAAAAACTAGAAATCATCTCAACTGCATCTATTAACAATGCTATGTAAAGATAAGTCTTGATTATGGAGGCTGACTGATCACTTGGAATAAAATGTCTTATGTTTCCTCCGTTTCTTTCAATCCAACTCTTTGTCTATTATGTGTTTATTAATTAAGAAGAAATGAAAGAGAAAGCAGGAGACCCAGATTGCTATGGAACAGGGATGTCGGTGGGGGCAGGATGTGGTAAAATCTGAGAAAAAGAATAATGATATTAGGAAACTTCCTATGGAGACTGTATTGGTAGATTTAATTTTTTGATAGAAATAAGTAATGTTAAGTTGTGTTCCGGTTCAGGAGACAGTTGTCAATTTGTGACCTGATGGCACAGAAATCACCAGTTCTTAAGCTTTACCTGACCTAGGAGAGTAGTCTCAGTTGGAAAATTTAAAAAAAAAATTAAGTCTAGTCTCCTAAAGTTTAGGGAAGCTTTCACTTTAAAATATTCCATTCTTAGATAAAGTAAAATATGTGAAATAATATTTATAATGAGAACTTTTCTAAATATATATGATGTACAGTGATTTTTTTTTTCTAGTTCCCTCTGGAATTGGGATAATGATGAACATATGATTGCTTCTCTAATTGTTTTTTTTTTTTTTCAAAGTATCATTATGATGATTTAGTTGGCTCTTAGGAGTCTTCCTCGCTCCCTGACTGGGAAAGTATATTTATAAAAATAAAAACTTAAAATTCATAATCAGTTTTTTATTCTGCTTGGTATGCACGTTGGCAGACCAAAAATTAGGAGGAGCTGAGCAACTTAACATGTATGCTGAACAAGTAGCAAGGCAAACATTTGGGGAAAATTGAGGCCTGTTTTTGATTCAGACAGGAAATATCTGAAGTTTACAAAATTTCACTGTATATTTTGTTAGAATCATCATAGATCTTCTCACTTTATTCTATTACTGATGATAATACTACTAATAAAAATAATAGAGATTTTTATTGAATCTTATGTGTGAGGTAGCATACCAAGCATTTTACATACACTCTATCAACAAAACAGTTATGGTGGGGCAGGTCTTATCATCTCTTTTGGGCACCTGGGAATGAGGACTCTCTGAGAGATTTAGGCATTTGCTCAAGTCTGTAGTGATGGAGTTGGGATTTGAACCAGACCCATATGATAACATAAATTAGTCTTTTACTCACTGGAAGGGAAGTAGGTCTAGATATTACTAGAACTCTAGGAGGAAGAGAAGGTAATTTTCAATTTTGTTATCTTTAACAGATATACTAAAATTGGAATGAGCAGACAACACTGTTGGATCTCTCTGCATCCTTAAAGGTAAGGGAGAAAATGAGCAGCAAATGTGCCACCCCTCTCTTCTCCTGGGCCCATGGGAGGAGGGTCATGAATAATCCACCATTACCTTTTTCTATTGGGACCAGGCCTTGCTCTAAAGTTCTTCTCAACAAAGGACTCCAGGCAACCTCTTCCAATTCATTAAAAGTTTACGCCTCAATGAAACATTTGTAATTCCCACTAAATTAGATTTCTTTTTGCAGGAATCTCTAACAGGGACAAACTAGTGTTAGGATGAAAGAAACTGTCAAAATCTTCAAAATCAATAACATTGCTTAATGCAATTTTGCATTCCCTGTGAATCTCTCAGTTATTTGTTATTACAATTAGATTCTTGGTGAAAGGGAATACAAAACATAGAATGAGTATTACTTACAACTGGAGAACTCCAAGGGGCAGGAGTGTTCATCCATTGGGAAATTGTGCAATTGTAATTGGCACTCAGCATCGATAGTCAACCTAAGTAGAAAGATATGAAATGTAAGTTGAAAGATTTTAGACATAGTTTTAAAAATGTACAGTAGAACAATTTCTAATGACCATTCTTGATCTTTATTCCTGGATAGTATGTCTATCTCATATTCTTATTGATAACAAAAGGTGATTCCCACTGAAGAAATCCACTAAGTCCAGGAGAAAATTGTTTAAGACTTAATGCAATCCATTCATTTTAACAGACCAAACAATAGGTTCTCATTGTCCTCAACTTTATTTATTCAAAATTTATGCTCATGTATTTATTCTTTTGGCAAATTATTGCACAGATGAATTACTCAGGGAATGTATTTACGTTACTTAACAGAACAAACTGTTTTAAGAACTTAAGCTCATTTACTGTTTGCATATATATGAATGCTGATAATCCTCAGATCTTATCTGCTAATTAAAGTAGAACCTTCTGTTAATAGTACTTGTTAGCTTTTAGCTTTAAATTACTATATGTGATTTTAAAAATATCTATGTTTCACAATGGAGTATTGTGCTTTTTACGATAGAACGCTATAAAGCTATTAAACAGGATGTCGAAGTAGAAAAATATCTAATGGCAAACAAGCAATGTTAAATACATACACGCAGACATACTACAAAAATATTTGCAAATAAGTCTCAAAATATTTGCAAATGAGGTGCTTATTAAACATGCAGGTTTTCTGGATCTCAGTATAGGCTAGGATTCTAGAAGGGAGAAAATTTAAAGGAGTTCTAGATGTTTAGATCACCTTTGAAGAAGTCTGAACATATTCTAAAATTGTACTGCTGATGATTGATGATTTTTAAAATTTCATATTTGTTAGCTATTATTTCTTACAATGATATCAGTCTTGAAGTAATAAAACTGTTATTTTATGAACATTTGTTTACTTTAAAAGATTTTATATGTTAGCATAATTTTTAACTGGGGGTATTTTATTTTTCTGTGGTATAATAGAGCAATTACTGATATTAAAATATAACTAATAATCATTGAGCCATTAATTGTTTACATGGTACTTACTAAGGTTAATTGTTCTCTCATTTAGTAAGCGTTATTATGGCTTTATTATACTTGAACTTGCACGAAGTCACAAAGTTAGTGGCACAATTGAGATCTGAACCCGATTATCTGTCTCTAAAGCTGAAGGTTTTAATCATTGTCACTCACTAATCATATGCTCTTCCAAAGAAAATATTAGTTTTATTCATAAGTGAAATTATAATTAAATTTTATATTTTAGTATTATTTCTCCAAAGTAAACTGGAATTATTGAAATTAAAAAAATATATAGATAGATTGCAGAAACATAGAGCATATATGTATTTTATTTATACATACATACACATTTATAACTCATTATAGCTAAGAACAAGAACAAAACCATCTCATCTATGACCATGCCACCCTGAGCAAGCCCGATCCCATCTGATCTCGGAAGCTAAGCAGGGTCGAGCCTGGTTAGTACTTGGATGGGAGACCACCTAGGAAGACCAAATGTTGTAGGCGTAAAAAAATAAAATAAAATAATAAGAGATTGTGAGCTGACAAAGTCCTTGCAATCTGTGAGGTCAACGAAGGGTTGCCTCGCCTAAAAAAAAAAAAAAAAGAGTAAAATCATCTCTCAGTATAGATTGGCAACTCATTCAAACCTTGAGCAACAGTTTTGCGTTGGTTTCCCTAATTAAATATTGTATAGTGATTCTGCAAATTAACAGAAGTGAAAAAAATGACTAGAATATTCAGAGAATGTTAAATTAACTTGAGATAGTGTGACTGCCTTAATATTTCAAAAGCTAGACTGAAATCTGATTTATCATAAAAACTTTTATTTCCACTGGATTCTAATTCTAGTTATTACCTTATCTCTGACTTAAAACCCGTGATAAATTCAAAATATACGCAATGAATTTCTTTTATAATTGTAGCCATTTTTCCTAGTAATTGATGTAATTGTTTAATTAATATAAAGGTTCGTAGCCATTTTAAAATATTTTATTTTGTATGTTGAATATTATATTAGGCCTAAAGTATGTCACAAAGGCATTTATCATGAATTATTTTGAAGCTAAAAGTTCCAGGATACTAAGAACTAGAAAAATTATATTTATATTTTTTACTAAAATATATATATATACAAATAAATTTAGTATCTGCTATACTCCTGTATATCAGGTTCTACATTAACCATTTTACATATCACCCCATTTAGTCCTTATAACAACTCTGTAAGATAAGAATCGTTGTCTATTTTATAGAAATTAAAGAAATGAAAGGTAAGAATTTGTTCAATTGAGTGTGGTGCATATCATGGGAATAGTGGTGCCTTCTTTCCTGGTAATCTCCATCAGTTTCCACCTAATCTCTCTAATTAAAAACGTAACCAAGTAAAAGTATTAAACTTGCTATACAAACAAAGCTTTGTGATACGTCTTCTAGACCCCTACTACTAGATAGCTGCACCAAGTTCTGTACATACAATCTCTGTAGAGTTACCTTAATACATTCAGATAGTACAATATAGAGCTAAGCACTAAAGCGAGATTTATCAGATTCTTAAGTCTATGTACTTACCTATTATGTTGTTTAATAATACACTCTCTTTAGCATAAAAATATTTTAAATGTTTGGAAATATGAAGTGCTAAGATAATAGCATAAAATAATTTAAGTAGAAATCTTCCAAATGTCACTTAATATTTAAGTTCAAAAAAATATAGCTCTAACTTTTTCCAGAAGATGTCTATTTCGAAAAAATAGCCAATGAATTAAGTCAAACAGCCTATATCAGTGTAGTGGGGAGCGGGGGCTCAGAGATAGAATTTATTCTAGTTACTTGCCATTGTGCAGCTACAAAGAGAAAGACAAGTGGGAGATTTCCATATCAAAGTTCTCCTTTTGCAATGGTTTCCTTGGAAACAGAGGCTTTTCCAAGCATAACAAATGGTGGTCCCAAGGATGACTAACTATTTTAGTTTTCATTTTTTAAAGTAGCAAGACACACACAAACAAAAGCCAAGACTGATGCAAAGATCAGGTGATCTTACAAAAGAAAGGGAAATTTTATGTCCTTCTGAGAAAACTGAGTTCTCACATAAGTCGCAGAAAATGATTTCTACCTATGACTAGTCCTTTGGAAAGGCTCATCGATAACAAAAAGAACAACTAATTTTGTAGTGTCATGTACTGTTTTGATCAAACATGCCAACCCAGAGGTAGGCTTGAAATTTCTTTTGTCTTAAGAGAGTGTGTTTGATCTTTATTTTATTCCCATCAATTACTCCTTTCTTTTCCCAGAATACCTTAAAGTATAGAGCACTCGACCATCATTCCAAATTCTCAGCATCCTATTGGGGGTGGTTATCCAGTGTGCATCAGCCTTTTTTGAATTTCTGAAGAAAGTGTCTGGAATCCATATTTTCCCCACCATGTTGCTATTCAATCGGAGAACTTTAATGGTGCTGTTAAATTTCAAACGTCTGTCATACCATGTTTGGGCAAAAAATATATCAATCGTATATTCCTGTTTTAAAAAAAAAAGATGAAATAGAACATTTTAATACATAGGATTATATCATAGAGCATTTGTTTGTATGTATAACTTTTGTTCTCACTGTCAATATGAAGCAAAGTTACTTTGGCTTTGAATAGTCCAAATGAAAGCAAAAACTTTGCTAAGAACACTCACTCAGCTTTTGTAGACCAGTTGATATTTTTAGGGAAAAATAGATTCATCTAAATAAATTCTGGCAAAAGATCATAGCTCTGATACAGTTGTTTGCACTTGGTGTCTATGAAGCAGAGTTTCTCATGTGTTCTTGGCTAGCTAATTCATTGTTGTGGGGCTGTCTTGAGGGTTTTAAGATGCTTAGTAGCATTCCTAGCCCCTACTCACTTGATGCCAGTAGCACAAACATCAACCCCTACCCACCAAGTTGTGACAACTAAAAAAGTACGTCTAGACATTGCTAAATGTGTTATGGAAAACAATTACCAAAGTTCAGAAACTTCACTATCAGATAAAAGTCCACAACACTCAAAAACAGTCCTAAACTGAAGCTCTGGAGGCTCAGTCACCTCATAATACAATGGGGACCCTAAAGAACCTATCTTGTTAGGTAGTGTGAGGATAGGAAAAGGGACTACACATAAAGTTCTTTTCACTGTATCTGGCAAATATAACAAACACCAATACAATATGTAAGATAACATTTTTTAACTATTATAGTTGTTGTCCTTTCTCTAAATAAGGGGAAATTAACCAATGAAAAATAATTTTAAATTGTGCTAATCTCTGTCACAAAACATATTCTCAAAGTTCTATTATGACAAATTATTATCCTCAAGTATATACCACTAAAATGACAAGAGATCGATTTTAAACAAAGAGAAATAAGTGTATTGCGAATTTAGATAATTAGGCCTGGAGTCAGAATGCCCAAGTTGTAGTTTGACTATCATATTTGTGTATTATTTAAAATTATTTTATAAATTGATTTTAATCATGCCTATCAATGAGAAAATTAAAAACAACAACAACAACAATATTCTTAGAAGATGAGAGCTGAGGGATAGGAGTTATCCACATTTCCTAGTTCAGTTCTCTAAACCCACCACCATTTTCTGATGAAGAACGCCAAAAGACAGAAAGATTATTCCTTTGCCTCCTTGTACTTTTATGTGTTATTTCCTTGCATCTCCTGCTGCTGTGTCTCATTGTAATAGACTATATTTCTACTGGAGTGAGCCATGCCACTTCGTTCATCATTTAGTTCCACATTTGCAATCTACAACTAATGATAAGGAAACTTATCATATGAAATTCTTTGTCAACTAATTAGTGATGTGCCAGAAGATAGAGTAATTAAATAATTTCTAATGTACATTTTGGAAAAACACTCTCACACAAATAAATAAGTAAAAATAAAATCTTTAAGATTCTTTAAACAAGCTTTTCATAGACTGTGATCCTGGGACAGTAGCTCTGGGGACGAGTATTCTAAAGTTGAAAGTTCTATGCTTAAATAACCTACATATATAACTTCTTCATCTTAAATGTTACGATTTGCATCAGAATGCTAAATATTCTGAGAATTTTGGTTGTAGAGAACAAACATGTTGGCATTTGTTTAATGATTAAACAAACAAACTTATTTGCATAAACTATGCAGGTTTTTCACCCCAAGTGAGAGCAATTAAAATTTCTCATCTCTCTACTCAATGTAGTGTCCTTATAGTTAGCTTAGTAAAAGCTATATTAACGTTTTCATCTTATTTATGTTATGTTGCATGTTCTACTCTATTCTATTATAGCCTCCAATGGTTTCTAATTTCAGATTTGGATAGAAAGTGTTATACAAGAAAAAGTTACATTTATTGTTACATCTAATCAACTGTTTCCTCTGAGAAACAATCTGATTTGAGGCAAACTATGCCCTCTCCACACCATCAATAGTCTAAAAACTAGTGGGGTACTATGTTTTATTTTGTGCTAAGCAGTTATCATTGAATTTTAAGAATACAGCATTTTTACAGAAATTTTATACATATCACATTTAAGTCTCATGTCAAATCATTAAAAAATTATCTTCATATTGCAAGAGAGAATAAAAAAATCTGAAAGATTATCTTTCCCTTCCAAAACTTTTTGTTGGCATATGTCTTGCTATTTGCATCATACTACAAGTCTTCTCTAATATGTTAACAAAATAGACAAACTATTAGAAACTTACCATATTGATAGCATTCACTGGACCAATGCTATTCACATACATGTCTGTGTGGATTAATGTTGGTTTCACTGTAAAGAAAACCATAGAGATATGTGCATGTAGAGAGGCACAATATTTCCATCTTTGCTATCCTAGAAATACATTTATTTTGCTACATTAGAAATGATTTATTTGCAACTAATTTGGTGCCAGTAACTAATTTGCTACATTTAAATAACTTTATTTTCAAAGGGATATCTCCATTTAAGTATAAAATACATAACAAGTAAGCATAGTAGAGTTTTGAAATTGATTATCCTTTCAAGACTATATAGAAATGAACAAATAAGAAAAAAAAAAATCAGATTTTCTTCATCCTCTGAAATATTCTGAATTTTACTATTTTTCCTTTAAGCTCTTAAATCTCTTTGGGCATTGTAACCTGAATTAATCCATGTAGAAGAAATAACTCCTTAATAACCTAGAAAAAATAGCATTAGAAAGATAAAGTAGATATAAAGAGTGACAAGTATTATGAATCGGTTTTGAACCATTGTACCTGTTGATTCCTCTTATGATCACTTTATCCTCATACGCCTCTAACCAACACAAGATTAATCTTTCTCAATGACTTAATGGATTTTGTGATTCAGAGGAAACCATATGGAAATCCAGTACACATCTATTTGTCAAAGAGGACTAATATTAAAAATCATGTAGTATTACATCCATGACCAAATGCATGTGCTCCATTTTCATTTGACATTTAATGAACAAGGATTCATAATATCATTCTGGGCTCTGATTCAAAAAGAACATTTGTCTCATTTTTATCCACTTTCCTTGAAAGAGCCATGCCCTAATTCTCTATGGTGGATTGAATTCTTCACTGTTCTCTGTGTCTACACCTTTGGGGTCAATCAAGACTATTTCTCTGCCTCTGAACTTTGGGCTTGATCATTTGACTTGCTTTGGTTAATAAGATAAGGACAGAAGTGCTCATTCTAATCTCAAGCATTATGAACTTCTTCTACCTTATGAACTTCTACTTTTTCTCTTATTCTTTGCTGTTATCACGAGAAGGCTACTCCTAGCTCGTCTGCTGGTCCCAGGAGTGGAATGAGTACAGCTTCCTAAATGAACAGCCCCAGCTTGGCTTAAATTAAATTAGACCACCCCACCAAAGTGCTAAGTAAATGCCTATTATTATATGCCACTGAGATTTTTATAATTGTTTGTTGCACAGCAATAAGTAACCAGTATATCCTTTCTTTATGATTATTTGACGTTACTTCATAAAGAAGTGTCACTTTTCTTTTTCATCCTTTGTTTGGGATATCTCAGAAAAGTTTAATATCTAGCTCTCAAGTTTCACTTGAAAATTATCTTTCTTCATTTGAACTTATCAATGCCCCTTCCTCCCCTAGACTGGAATGCTAATTATACATCCTTTATCTATTTTTACAACATAATGAAAGTATCATTTAAATAGTCCTGGTTATTGAAATATGCCGATGTTTTCTTCTAATGTGGTAGGCATGTTTATGACTTTCTTGCTACACCACACTACAGAGGACTTTACAATACCTCCTATATCAGGTCGAAGTTTATTGTCGTAGCCTTCCAAGAGGTTGTTTAAGATAACAGTAACATCACCCTCAGGAACTTTTGGTGTCAAGACCCATGTTTTGTTAGAAGCATAATCTTCATAGTCGTCATCAGATTTTTGGCTAGTGAGGCTAAGAAAACAAAAATGTTGGTCAGGAAACATATAGACTACATCTAAGTTAAATTTTACCCCCAGGCCACTGGTGGAAAGAGAAAAATGAAACCAGATTACAGGAATGGATTGAAATGGATTATAGTGAAAATTCTGATCTGAGGGTTAGTCTAGCTAATTAAACTGCACAGTGTGCTCTGGGTTTTCAGAATGCCTTGCCTGGCCATCTATAGGTATACCATGTTTTACTACTTATTTTTACCTTCTTAGATGATGTTATTCATGCCCATCTGCCCAGCTTTAGGAAGAACCTTGAAAAAAAACTGTTTTTGTGAAAGTGATGCTTAAATGAAAATAATGTAGTCCACAAATTCAGGCATAATGTCTACTATTTTTCCTTTGAGAAGTTAACTTGCTCCAACCTATTAATGAAAGTAAGAGACTGATAATTAGATTCACTCCCACAAACTGCCAGACAAGCCTCTCCCCCCTCAATTGAACTACTAAGGAAAGCTCAGTCTTGCTGCCTGTTTTTCCCCCAGGGTGTGTGTATGTGTATTTTTTTTCCCAGACTTGCACTGAAGGCAAGGGCGGTTCATTTATCTTTGATCGTTAAGAACCTGGTTCTGTGAAGAAAAAATATAGTTGCAGGCCTTAAACCACTCTTTACTACAGTGAAAATTCCTAAACTGGAAACTCATTCTATTGGTTAGTGTACTACAATTATAGAAATGAAATTACCTATTTTGAGTGATCAAGAAGCCACATCATATTCTGTGGTTTAGTTTTTTATGCCCAAACTTGTCAGAACACCCCCACATCTGGGCCAGAAGCTAAGACTGACTTTGGAAGGATGTTGGAATTCCTGTAGTTTGTCTCTCTCTTGGGATTCCATCCCCCTCCCTCCCTCAACAAAAGATAAATATATTTTCCAGATCTAGGCATAAAGCGAAACCTTGCAAATGCTGCAATTTTCATTTTTATTAGCTCTTAGTAAATATAGTTACTTCTATGATTTACAGTGAAAAAATTACAAACATAAAATATAAAATTCCCTTCCTCATCCCTATCTTCAGTTTATTTTCCTAAATATATGGTATAGAATGGGTCTTGTCAGAAATCAAATCACTGCCACATTATCCTGAATTAATATTAATGCATATATTTTGTGTTTATTTTGAAATATATATAGATATTTCTCAAATCATGTTTATTACCTTTCTTCAGTCATACTCAGTTATACATATGACTATGTTTTATATAAATGTAGCTTGAAGATTAGATAGATAGATAGATGATTAAATATGGTGGAAAAGTTGATTAATTAATCTGGTGTAAGAATGAATAAGGTAGATGAAGTTTTAAGAGTAATCACTGTCGTGAAACAGTTTAGAAAGTAAGAAATCTCTTTTTATAATCCTTTAAAGCTTTATGAATAGAAAACATTATATAAACTGAGCCACACATCTACATACAATCTAACATAGCCAGTGTCTTTAAGCAAAATGTGAATTTCATAGGTTACTCATAGAGAATATGATGAACCGGACAAAGCTTCAAACAGCTCTCAAAGAGAAAGACCTCAATACGGGCTATGACCAGTTCTCTGCTAGGGTAATAAATCCCTCTTGGGCCTCAATTCATCATTTCTCCAGAGCACTGTGAACTCTGCCTAACAGAACCCTAATCCTATGACCTAAATCTTACTAGTTTAAGAAGAAACATATAAACAAAAATAGCTAAGAAATTTGTAAATCTTTCCATTGACAAAAGAATGTGATTTCTTTTTCACTACTGTTTAATTTCTTTATGCAAAAAGATCTTTCCAAAAATAATCTCTCCCTCTTCCTTCCCCTTTCTTCCTCTGTGTCTGTCTCTGTCTGTCTCTGTCAGAAAAATGTACCCTATTAAAATTTCTTCAAGGGAAGTCGATATATGTTAAGTTGTTTTGTTTGCTTGTGTTTAGCCCTTTCTCATACTTAACAAATAAATGATCCAAAGCTGATGGTGCTGTATTATCATCACTACTGTTATCTGGTGAACTAGAAGGAAAAATACATTAAATGAAAAGATAAGGGATACTTGTTTAGTAGGAATGCTACTTTCCATAATTGTACCAATAAATCTCATAGCATCAACATCTACTGGATGCCAGACAATAATCAAATTGATTATTTCATATAAAAGTGTCAGTGACAGATTTTTTTCATACTTCGGGATGACTACTTAGCCATAGAAAGGTAAAACAGAGTAGAGAAGTTAAGAGCATATATTTGGGAGTAGGAAATTACCAGGTCTGCTTTCCGGATTTGTTTGTGCCTCTGTCACTATTTTATGACCTTGGGCAAGATATTTAACCTTGCTAAACTTCAAAGTTTTTATTTTAAAATAATGTTAATACTACTAGTATTCATATTACATTTTTGTGGAAGGTTAAGATAATACTTATTAAATGCTTAGCACAGCAACTGACACATAGTGTTAAAAATATGTTTATAATTATTATTATTGCAATAAAATGTCCACTACTGGATTTATAACATCAGCTTCAACCATGTAACTAAAACTTGCTTCTACAGATGCTTTTCCAGGTTTTTATCTAATATGGGCTGAGAACTGAAAACCGATGTTTTCCCAGAAGAAAAACAGTGAGCCCCTACCTTATAAATAAATGAAGTTTTATTCTCTAGAACTTTCTCACTGAAGTCTAAATTAACAGGGATGATGTATAAGCTGGGATTGTTTCCAGATTTGTCTTGTAAAAGGAACCTCTCTCATTCACTGTTGGCTATTTCTTTCTCTAGAATTCTTTGGAGTCAAGAGCGTCCACATTTATAGGTGAATGATCTAGGGATAATGAAGTCTGACCATTAGATAAGGCATTCTGTAGAATTATGAACTGCATGAGAATGCCAAGATAAAAATAGATTAATAAAGATTCAGTGAAATTGACTTAATCATTGAATGGGCTAAGAGCAAACATAGACTCGAACTTCTAGCTTAAGGCACATATCTGGATAAATAGCCTTTAGAAATGATTACTTTTTCTTCGGCTCTTTATTTAAAAAACATAATTTTGTAAAGGGAAAAGATTGAATTTGAAGTTATTCTTTAATTAACTTATAATGGAAATTTTTTTTTGTAGTCTGAGTGATAATTTCTGAAAGACAGTACCAGAAAATGTAAAGTTTTCATCTTTGAAAGCTTTTAAAAAATAGTTAGGAAGCCATCTGACCAAAAGCCTTGGACTAGCAAAATGAGCATCTGGGAAATTGCTAGAAATGCAGAACCCTGGGTCCCACCTGGACTCCTACATAGTGGAATCAGAAAATAGAATCAGAATCTATTTTAGTAAGATCTTTGGGTAATTCATATGCATATTAAAATTTGAGAATTTCAGTCATAGAATGTTCAAAACAATGGTGCTCGTGTGTGTGTGTGTGTGTGTGTGTGTGAGAGAGAGCTCTTTTAAAAATACAGATTCCCAGGTTTCTACTTTAGATCTTTCAATTCTAACTCTTCGTGTTATAAGTTGGATTATTAATTTTTATTTTCACCTTTACAGTTTTCTGCATTTTTTAAATTTATGCATGAATCAAACATGTAATGAGTTCATGTTTATTATCAGAAAAAAATGATTCTATTTAGGAAAAAAAAGTGACTTATAAAAACAAAACAAATATTGGACAGACATAGTTTAATGAGAGGTTGATGTCAATGGAGATTCTAAATATTTGAATTTTTCTGTGTATTTGCCACTGTAAAGATTAATCATGTAGTTAATGGAATTTTAAATTTTAATCCAGGTATTTCATATTTCCATAGAGTCAATAAAACTCTAAGCTTTGTGGGGAATGAGGGTAGATCTAGTCATTATACTCTCCCAAGGCTGTACAACAACAAACATTCACATGAGATATAAGAACAATTACATTCAGGTATCTTCAAATCTCTTGATGTTTGGCATCGTAAAGACAGAATATATGTTTGTCTTTCTCTGTCATATGTAGGTAAATAGATGAATAAACAAAATCTCACTTATTTTTTTCTTGCAATATTTTAATGAGTAGCATTTCATTCCTTTGAAACATTAGTTTCACTAATATTTTGTTGGTACAAGTTTTGGCTTACATTTATTTTATTTTATAGGCACAATGAGTCAAATGCAGAGTATTATAAATATGTCAAAATATATCTCCCAAGGCATATATTTCAGCAAAATGAGAGTACAATGACTAGATCCATCCCCGGCCCCACAAAACTTAGAGCTTTATTGAATCTATGGGAATCTGATATATCTGGATTAAAATGTAAAATTCCATAAACTGCATGATTTCAAAACTTTTCTATCAAGAATTCTTGTGCATTGGATTTTCTGCTCTGTTCATATTACCTGTATTGTGAATCTCCACTATGTAGCACAAAATCGATTCCTTCTTTCTACTGTACTCATAAGGATCTAAATTCTCACCAGGCTATAAAATTCAGTGGAAATCTCACACTCCTAAAGCATCAGTAACAGAAGAATGTATTGTTCCTTACACCATCATGATACCTGAGAGTTTGTCGAGTTCCAGAAACCTGGCCAAACTCCAGTACCTTGGCAGATTTATCCTTTCAGCCTATGATCTTTTCTGTTCTCCACTTCCCAAAACAATATTTGCATGGCTCACTCCTTCTTATCTTTCAATGTTCAATACAAATATCATCTTCTTATAGAGGATGTCCTTTACATTTATCTACCTTTGTCACCCACCCCACGTTTATATGTTCTAGTCCATTATTTGCTTCTTAGCATTTTCATAAGGTGTATTTATTGATTTACTCATTGTCTGTCTGCATTGCTAGGCTATAAATTCCATAAGTGCATGATTAATTAATATTTATGGAAAGAATCAAGTTTTTTGCTAACTAGTTTTCCTAAGATAAATAATAAAAACTACAATGGCTACTGTTAAATATTTACTATGTTCTAGGAATAACAAAGACTTCATATACATTTTCCCACTTAATTCTTAA